GACTGTACAGAGGTGTGACAGCAGTTAGGTGTTTCCCTCAGACAACCAGCATGACAGCGATGCTGCCTTCCCACAAGGAGGGGTGGGGTTAAAAAGGGTGGATCCTAAAAATGCACACCTTGCCTTATCCCACGGATATCCGTCTCCGGCGGTAAAGTCTCAACGAGTACGGAGCTAACAAGAAAACTACTCGCAAAACGTTAGTGTGTGGCCAACCTCAAGCAGTTGTCCCTTGAGCACTGGTATAAATCACTCAGGTCACTAAGATCACCCTTAACCCAATTTCTTTTTCCGGCACCTCCAGAAGAACCCTTCCACGGTGTGGGCAACCGGGAAGTGATAACCGCTCTCATACCTCTAACATCACTCAAGACCACTGTATTCATGATCAACCACCGTCTTCACTTTCCATTATTCCTCCAACATCGACTTTCACCTCTAAACTTCCTTTTTTGGCCTCCCCCTCAAATGTCACCATAGCCAACGATTCTAGTGCTCAAAACGCTGTCCCAGGTCGACTGAAACATCGCTTCAAACTACACATTGAAGCCTTCAACGTACGAATCCTATGTCAAATCGGTCAACAGGCTTCCTTGGCTAGAACCCTAGAATCTCGTACCATTGATGTATGCTGTGTCTCTGAAACACTCATACAGGATCCCAGTGTGGTCATTCACTTGACCCCCCCTCGACAAAACAGAGAGCCAACGAGATACACCCTCTGTGTATCTGGTGACCCGATGGCCAGTTCTCATGGACTGGCAGGAGTAGGGATAGCACTAAGCATGAGGGCCAAACAAGCACTGTTAGAGTGGATCCGCGTTAACAGTCGTTTACGTGCTGTTCGGCTAAACGGCTCCGTAAGAACTTGGGAGGATAGGGACACATGTCGTTGCCTTTTTGTTGTTTCTGCCTACGCTCCCATTGACTACAGCTCAGAAGATGTGAAAGATGAATTTTACAGAAAGCTTTGTGAACTTCTTCAGAAAGCTAAACGCTCAGACATAGTACTCGTAGCATGTGACTTTAATGCCCAGTTAGGTAGTTTAAACCAAGCAGAAAGGCATTTAGGTGGGTATTTTAGTATATCGGCACAGCGAACAGATAATGGTGATCGTCTGCTGCAACTATGCTCAGACAATCGTTTATTTTTAGCAAACACAAATTTTAAGCATAAGGAGAGACATCGTCTCACATGGCGTGCCAGGGACAACTGAGGTCACGATTAGGTAGTTCTGAAGACGAGGCTGACCCAGAAGTTGCTTGGCAAGGTATACAATCAGCTGTGGAAACAGCAATGACATCTATTAGAGACTTGAACCACAGAGTTACGAAGAACCAGTGGATTTCTTCAAGGTCTATCACACTGATGGATTCTCGCAAACTCATCAGGTTCTGAACATGATGAAGAGCGTAAAGAAATGAGATCTAGGTTAAGGAAAAGTCTAAAGTACGACCGTGAGCAGTAGTGGGTAACGAAAGCAAAAGAGATGGAAAAGGCGGCGACTATAGGGAACACAAGACAGCTTTACAGACTAATAAAAGAAACTGGAATTGATAAGTCACGTGTAAGTCAGACTATTTCGGAAAAAGACGACACCCTCATCTGCTCTCAGTCCAGACGTTTAGAACGATGGCCAGAACATTTCAGAGAACAGTTCAGCTGGCCTTCAGCTACTCTACAACTATCCTCCATTCCCAGACAGTGGGAATGGAACATTGAAGTAGGTCCCCCAACTCTAGCAGAAGTTCGAAAGGCTATGGCTAATCTGAAACGAGGAAGGGCAGCTGGTCCAGATGAATTGGTCCCAGATTAGGTTGACTAATATTTTAGCTAAAATCTGGGAGTTAGACGTTATTCCATCTGACTGGTCACAATCACTTATCGTCTCAATATATAAGAAAGGGTCAAAATCATCCTGTGACAACCATAGAGGGATTAGTTTAACTAATATATTATCTAAAGTACTAGCCACGATAGTTATTAGACGCCTAACTAAGACTCGTGAACTGCAAACACGAGAGACTCAAGCTGGCTTCAGACCTGATCGTGGCTGCATCGAACACATATTCACCATTCGTCAGGTTCTAGAACACAGGCGTACTTATCGGCGTCCGACAAAAGTGGTCTTTCTTGACTTAAAAGCAGCATTTGACTCTGTAGACCGCGAGGTTCTGTGGCAGTGTCTGTCATTGAAAGGCGTATCACAGAAGTACATGAACCTTGTGAAGGCTCTTTACTCGAACACTACTAGTCGAGTCAGAGCTTATGGCGAACTGTCATCTACTTTTGCAACTTCAAGTGGTGCTCGTCAAGGCTGTCCACTTTCTCCATTTCTGTTTAACTTCATCATAGACCTATTGATGGAAATAACATTCTCGTCTACTGAATGTTCGGGTATTGATCTTCTTCCACGAGATCCAATTATCGACTTAGAATACGCAGATGATATAGTTCTGTTTGGTGAAGACGCTGACAAAATGCAGAGTCTTCTGGTAGCACTAAGCAACCATGCCAGAATGTTTGGAATGCGCTTCTCTCCCTCGAAATGCAAGCTGCTGCTTCGGGACTGGACTTCGTCAACACCTGAACTAAGAATAGCGAGTGAAGTAGTCGAACGCGTCGACAACTTCACTTATCTTGGAAGTCTGAACAGCCATAATGGGTTGGTGTCTGACGAAATCTCAGCACGGATCCGAAAAGTTCGTTTGGCTTTTGCCAACTTACGTCACCTTTAGCGAAGGTGAGATATCCGTCTATCAATAAAAGGACGAGTATACTGCACGGCAGTCCGTTCTTTCTTACTTCACGGCAGCGAAACATGGCCACTAAGAGTAGAAGACACTCGTAAGCTATTAGTATTTGACCACAGATGCCTTAGAAATATTGCTGGCATCTGCTGGGATCACCGGGTAAGTAATAGTGAGGTTAGACGCAGGGTATTAGGGAATGATGGTAAATCAGTTTATGAGGTTGTTAATCTTCATGGACTGAGATGTTTAGGCCACGTGTTACGTATGCCTGAACACCGATTACCACGTCGTACAATGCTAACGGGTGTTAGAGATGGTTGGAGGAGAATTAGGGGCGGCCAAACCAAAATGTGGCATCAGTGTTTGAAGTCACTAACGTCTAATCTGAGCCATGTTGGTAGATGCAGACTACTTGGTTGGGGTCCGTGTGACTTTCGTAACCAATGGTTGGAGACTCTTGTTGACGTGGCTCAGAAACGATCACAATGGCGTCGGTGTATACACTCTCTATCTTCCCTTAAACTAAGAGATTAAAATTGCTTCATTTCTTTCTTTCTACGAACTAATTCTTTCTTCCTGTACTATATCCTTATTGCAATCTTTCTTTTATATATTACCACCTCAGAATTAACTACTTTTGTGAATCCGGTGTCCATCTTGTTGTGTTAATGAGGTATGGCAACTTGAACCGATGCATATATGTGCCTGGTCCTACGTTGTAGCTGACTGACTGACTGACATAATGATGGTAATGTTTTGCGATTACTATTCCAAGTCTATTTACCCACGTTTGTTTGATCTTTTATTTCCAATGTTTAACTATGGATAAGACTTTTGTTATCATATTTTATTATTCTTACTACTTACTGTCAGTACACTTGCCTTCCCTATTACCGACTTGTAATTTTACTTATTATGTGTAGAGACTTATTCTATTTCATTGTGATTATTGACCCAAATTGCCTTGATTGGTTTAACATTTTCGTATAAATATTCACGTATATTAGAGAAAAGGCCTGATGACGATCTAATTGAAAACAATATTGTTCGCTTATATGTGTTGTTCTAATTTTCACAATGCGAGTCTTTAATATTCTAATATCTATTTTGTAATGATAAATAAAATAACAATATATTTTCATGGATATGGTAGTGCAATGAACGACTCACAAATAAATTTAAAGAAGGTAAAAAAGAGCTTCATTTCAGTAGTGAGTATTGTACAACGGATGAATTTCAATTTTGATTCATAGATCGGCCATTAATTATAATCTTACGATTGATACTTGAAGCCCTCAAGTGCTCTGATACGGCAGAGAAGTATGGAGAGCACACTCTCCCTCTTCAAATGCTCTCACATAGCCACGAGTATATAGCCTCTCCCACGGAAGTCCTACTCACTGCATTCTCGCACCACGGAGTATTGTTTACCGAATTGAGAGGACAGAAAACGAGTGCCCAGCACTTTAATCGGGTTGGTGGACACGAACAGTTCACCTAAGGGAGTTGAAAAACCCTCACTCCAAACCAGTCGTGCACATGGTCTCCCGTATCCTGAGGGAACAACCGGCGTATGAACCAATCGTTGATCACCGGCTACCATGAGACTGCATCTCCTTACCACACTCCACTGCCTTGTGAATCAGACCTTTAGGTCGAAGGCTCCAAGTTTGACCCCCTATGTAAACCACCTTCTTCGGTTTGTGCAGCCGGGTAGTATCACAACCCTCATACAAATCAAATGAGATTTATGTTGAGCATATGTATCTGGGGCACCATTGTGCCAGTATTTATTTGTTCAAATAAATAATAATAAATAAATCTTGCCTGTATTGGTTTTAAGTTGCCTATTTTTATTGTATACCATTTCATCATTTGTCATCATATAAAATTATTAAACAATCAATCAATCTGAATTCATTCTTCACAATTATGAATAAAATTGAATGATTCGCTTTATTTGTTCATATTAGAATAAAATTAGTTCAGTCACCCAAATCACACTATTGATTCATGACCTATGATCAATAGAATGAAAATTGTTTTCATTCTATTTCATGTAACTAATCCGCTAGATAACTAGTTCAGTTGGCAACTTAACGAATAGTTTGATATGACTGATTGAACCAATTAGCATGTCGTACGGAATAAATCATATATATATATATATATATATATATATATATATATATATATATATATATATATATATATATATATATATATATATATATATATATATAAGTGTGTGTTCACAGTTTAGCTAACTGGATAATTCAAGTAGAATGTAAGTGTTGTAAATGTGAATAATGTTTGACTTTTACATTGCAAATGCATAACATTGAATTGTATTTGAATAAGAATATTTGTATTGAAGGTGTCTACTAAAGTCTATTTTACAGTTGCATTGTGTGTGTTGAATCATCAAAAACGTGTTCAGATTGCAATGAGTCTATAATTTTGTATGATTATTCTCATTGATTACAGACTGAGATGTTTATGAATGTTCAAAAAGTATAGGATTTTATGTGTTTTATGTGTGTTCACGGTGTAGTAGATGATGTAGGTTCAGTGATGTTGTCATCATTCGACGGTTATTTACTCGTTTTCTGTCCTCTCAATTCGGTAAACAATACTCCGTGGTGCGAGAATGCAGTGAGTAGGACTTCTGTGGGAGACGCTATATACTCGTGGCTATGTGAGAGCATTTGAAGAGGAAGAGTGCACTCTCCCTACTTCTCTGCCGTACCTGAGCATTTGAGGGAATCGTTTGTTTGTAAACATCATATCAAAGAGTATCAATCATGTTGATTCAATGCGATTTCTTTTAGAAGGTAATTGGTTGTTATGAATTCAATAAAATGAGTGTCCAACAACTGATTCTCACTTACGATAAACATTCAAAGTCCTTGTTGACAGAGAATGAAATTCCTGTTTGTTTCTTTTAACTTATCTCTCATTCAGTGGTTTCACTTTTGGTTTTACATTGATTACGATAATTGAGAAATATACTTAGGAATCATTTGGAGAGTTCAATGTGGCGTTAAGTTAATCGAAGAAATATCAATCGATATGTTATTAATCGACTATTTAACATTTTCATGCTGACAAAAAAAATACCATGTAGTACTTATAAGACCATGGATTGCTGGTTGTCCGTACAAAACATAAACTATAAAGCTTGTAGTCTATGCCTATCGTATAAAAAGTCACTAACTACGTCAATTAAACAGCGTCATAATAAGTGATTTTAATTTTATAATACTGACATCATTATTATGTACCCTTTTATTACTCGTTAAGTTGGCACAAAATCTCAAGTTTGTATCGTATTTTACTAATGTAATTTGACCAACCACTGTTTATCCAATCCTGAGACCACCCCATAAATCTTCATTCCTCCCACCACTTCCCTCAACCCATAATTTTACACTGTCTTATAGTCAGTTGGAAGACGTGCCGTCTGACATTGCTGGCTCTCTGAATATTTGTTCATTATTTCGACAATATAAAGATCACAGTTAGATGAACTGTGTGTGTGTCGACATGGTCTTGACATGTTTACACTTTTCTTTCTAGTATTTGAATTTTCAATATATAAACGATGTTTTAACTCATCTATTTCACTCAAATATGGAACACAATAATTTCAGTTGAAATGGTCGACGTCTTCGATTAACTGAGATATTAACTCTGGTTGATTAAAATCTGTGATTCCTAAATTGCATCCGCTGAATATGTGGATTGATCAGATATTTGTATTCTCAACGTTACCACTAGAATTAGTCAACGGTACTTGATGCACGTTACAAAAGTTCACATATTGTAACATAGATATTTACTTAGTTGTTTATTCGCTTATGTATAATGATACATACTTCAGTAAAAGTTGATAGATGAAAATACACACCATTTATTGTGTAATAAGCTATGCCTACATACACTTCATATGTTTATGCACTTCAATTGACTAATTGTTTCTTTCTTTGTCAGCATGTAGCCTTTATTGTTCGTTTATAGGTATCCCATTTTAACGATAGTTTTGGAAGTGTTCATTCTCACTGCCTCATGTGTATTGTGTTTGGATAATGGAATGGCAACACTACCACCAATGGGTTGGATGACATGGCAACGATTTCGATGTCAAATTGATTGTCACAACTACCCAGATGATTGTATTAGTGAAAAGTTGATTAAACGTACTGCTAACAGACTAGTATTAGATGGTTGGAGAGATTTAGGTTATCGTTATGTAATAATAGATGATTGTTGGCCAGAACGGAAACGGGATTCGAAGACAAACGAAATAGTTGCAGATTATAAACGATTTCCGAATGTGAGTTGTTATTTATTATCTTTCGTATGTGGTGCATAATTCGTGTTTTTTCGTTTGAATATCATAGTTTAGTTACTATTTCCATTTGGATTGGTTCACAATTTGATAATCTGTATGATATGTTTCGTTTGTAGGGCATTAAAAGTGTTGGACAATACTTACATTCTAAACATCTACTATTTGGCATATATCTCGATTATGGAACTCAAACATGTGAAGGTTATCCAGGAAGTATGAATTATTTGGAGGTGGATGCCGATAGTGTGGCTAAATGGGAAGCAGATTATGTAAAGATGGATGGATGTAACAGTCCGCAAAAAAGTATGCCAGAGGGCTATGGAAAGTTTTCCAAATTATTGAATGCAACTGGCAGACCAATAGTGTTCTCATGCAGTTACCCTGCTTATATTCCTTGGATGAAAAATACTAGTTTGATTGACTGGAAGAGACTGAAGAACAATTGTAACTTGTGGCGTATGCTGGGCGACGTTCAAGATAGTTGGTCATCGGTTATCAGTATTATAAACGCATATAAACTCCAAAATGATGTGTTACCGAAGTTGGCTGGTCCAGGACATTGGAATGATCCTGATATGTTGTTGATGGGAAACTTCGGTCTTTCAGATGATCAGAAACGAGTTCAAATGGGTATGTGGTGTATGTTTGCTGCTCCACTATTGATCTCAGCTGACATGGAAAAGTTAGATAATTTCAGTGTATCTCTGTTACGTAATGCACGTTTATTGGCTATAGATCAGGATAAAGGTGGACATCAGGCGGAATTCATCAAATCACGAAATGATGTACAGGTGAGTTTATCATACTATTGTACTAATAAATTTCAACAATGTGGTGTATCAGTGTGAAATTGTGGAATACGTTTTCGTGCTTGTTCGGACATATCAGTAAAATAAGACTGTGGTCATCTTTTTCGAAGTGACAATCCTCCAGAGATTTAAACAAACTTTTAAAAATGTGGCTGTTAGAGTATTTATCTGAAACAGAGATGGATCATGCGTAAAAGTGGGATCCAGAACGCGCGTCTTGATATATTTGGAACTCGTCAGTCGGATGTCCCTGTATCACAGTTTGATGTTCGTCAATTCATTGGAACACAGTACTTCAGACGTTTTCCCGTTTTTCGTTACGTTACTGAGTCCAGATAGCCACTGGCTTGTGCAGTCGGATGATTTTTATTGTATCTCATATATATATATATATATATATATACGGATATTCAAATCTTTCGTTTGGTACTGAGGACTGAGAGGACATGTATAACGAGTGGTAATGGGTTGGAGTCCCACATTGAATGGCAAAATTTGAATGCAGGTAACTTCAACTGACAAGATCCGAATTGGATGGAACTCGAGTCCCCGACTTCAGTATCACCCGCCATACACCTCTATTTACAAAATTTACAACTTACTGGCAACTTTGAGGTAATTCACACAGAATAAACATAGCAAAACAGACTGATCAAATGTAGTCGTAAACATCAATGCCACTGCATAAGACAGGATGACTTTGTTCTAATCAATCATAACTAGACGACATCGAAATCACTTGATTGTGATTTCTACTTAATCAGACGAGCAGTCATGTCACAACTAGATCAACGGGTTTTAATTCACAGTAAGACAATAGACAAAGTGATGTGAGTTCCAACCACTTCGTCAAGTAGTGGATGCAGTTTCCAAGGAGTTGACTCTCGATAACAAATGATTGAAATCCATGTTGATATGCCATTAACGACTGCGTATCAAATTTGAAAGTGAGCAATTGTTTCAAACTATTATACACTTTTCTAAATGACACAGTTCTTATCATTCTTGAGCATTGTCTTGCGTTTCATTTCATGTCCTCCTCAAATGTTATGAGGTGAAGTGGTGGGACTTTTCTTAAATACATTACGTGAACAAAACTTTTCCGTTTGTCTGATTGCTTCTCCCATATAGATGTGGATGAGACAATTAGATGGAGATCCACTTGGTTGGGCAATCGCTTTTCTTTACACAACTGATGGTGGTGGACCAATTCACTTTTACACAAGTCTTGGTGAATTCAAATCACGATCGTATAGGATATCTGGAGATCAGTTTGAATTATTGGATGTGTTCAATGGTGATAAATTGAAAGTGATTCAACGAAGAGAGAAGTTTATGATTTCCATCAATCCAAATGGGATAATGATGTATCGAGTTAAACGTGTTCAACTAGAGACTGTTTCTGAAGAAATTGATGGACCGTTTCAGACATTTTTATCGCCTTAAGAAATCCACTTCATTACTTCAATATCATATAAACTGAACAGTTCTTGATTGAGATAACTATTTTAATACATAGTGCTCTAGAAATCTATCCATTCGGTCACTTATCTCATTAGTGTGATGTGATTTTATTTCGGTTGAAGCATTTGCTACGATGCAAAATACTATCGATATTTTAGTAATGTTGTGAAGTAATCGCTGAAATTATTGGGAGTAGTCAGTGACGCACGGATTTATTGATTGATCTTACATGAATGAAAATGATAATGAGCCAGTAGTATATGAATGAACGAAAACCTGATGTTATATTCGATGAGTAGTGAAGTCAATGAGACCACTATTGATAAACGTATTCTTGCTCATCTCATCAAGTGTTATTTTGTTCATGACTTCTTTTTTGTTTTTAAGTTTATTCAGACGTGAGGTAATGCTCCATGTCGATCTCTCCTTTAAGATGTTAAGGAATACTAGGTGACTGGATTTCAGTCAATATTATACCGCAGTGTATTCTGTCTACTGTTTTAGTTACATAGAGTGAATATATATTGAGTTGTATGGTTAGTTACATTGAGAACACATGACTTTGTAGCACAAATTTGAAGAGTTGTTCAACATAAATTTGTGTTGTGAAAAGAATCCATGTAGCGTCACCTTATTTTAAACAGAGGTTAAATCATATGTGTTGATTTGGACTCTTCTTAGTGTTGGTCATAGTCGGTATTCGTAACCGCTTATTTATATATCGGTTGTGAAATGATCGGACGTGAAAAAACTTTCATTAACTCGAATGTTTCTTCGAGACTATCTTGACAAGAAATTCTGATTGTATTTTGAAATTACTGTATTGGCACAAACAAAACTGACTTCATCTTGTTTTCAACAATTATCAGTGGTGACCAACTTTGTTTGCCCAATCAGTAAATAAATGTAGTGAATGTTGAACTGAGGGGAATGAAATATGTGGTTTCGTGGGTTATTGTTGCTATCTACGTCACAGAAGTGTCATTTCACTCACACAAAACACTTTAATTGTTGTAAGTCGTTAGTGAAGTTAAGCAGAAGAGCGATAGTTTCACTAAATATACTTTGGAGTAACATAGGCACTGTTTAAGTGTTTAACTCAATTCTACGAAGAATATAAGTAATTACATCATCATAGTTATCATTAACATGTAAAGGTATCATTGTTTTATTTAGTCATTAATGGAATATTTCAGTTAAACGCATAGAGATGGGATAGCAAGTCGAGTTCAGAACTCAGTTAACTCGTAAAAGCGTTTGTCAGATGATGGGATAAACGGTTTTCGAATTGTACATCTCTATCTGTTATAGTATAATAAGAGTGATAAGTCAATACTTGACGATATTCGTGGAGATCAGTTTCAGGTGAACATCAACTAGACATCTGTTCAAGTAGTCTATGTCTGTGAAATGTTTGTCAAAACTGAGTCACTAAACAACCTAACCGATGCATGCATTTCATATGTATATTTTCATAATCTGTCATCACATGGTTTTAAGTCCGAACATTAAAGACCGCTTTGTATACACATCATACTTTCCGATCACGAATTTATCAAGCTGGACGCTTTTGATCTGTACAGATGAATTCATGGTAGGTTGATAACTCTTAAAACATTCATGTGTTCTTCTAAATGTTATAAACTGTATGAAATCTATGTTGTCAGTATGTAGAGAATTCATGAGTACCACAAATATTTTCAACGACAACCCTTAAATATTTGAGAGCCTAATAGGTGTCTAATAGTTCTCTAATAAAATTGCTGAATCATGATTACATAATCACCTTCTGTGCTTTACACACTAATGCCTTATTTGATTGAGATTAAAGTTAACATCAAACATTTTTTTGCCATATTTTTATTTGTTGAGCAGGTTGATAGGTGGTTTTAAGGGTGAAATTTAGATCTTTCTTTCACTTTTAAACAAATTTTCTTAAACGTATATCGATAAATTAAATCTTGAACGTGATTAGTTTGTCGGCAAAATGTCTCAGAAGTGTGAGACGTATCGATTGAAAGAAAATTAATCATTTTGAAATGGTGGAGAAGATTTGTAGCTCAGGTGGGTGATTTTAGCAAAGTTTGTTCTTTGAAGTGAATAATTTGGCCTTGGATCTTTAATAAGCGCAAAGTTTAGGTAATGGTAAAGCGTTCAAATTTTTCCACATATGGCTCACAGCTTGTCCTGTTGACCTCGACGTTGATTGGTCATTACTGACGTTTATCCTGTCATTGTTTACCTCTTTATTTTGATTGTGTATCTCATTGATTTGTTTCTCGGTCCTCTATTTGTTCATATCTGTTCTGATCGTCTAATAAATTGGGTCGATTTCAATGTCCTTGTTGATTTCTGATTGGTCTGAATGTCAAGCTTCTGAAAATTCTCTGGTGTTTTAGAATTCTATCTATCCAAGTTCTCAACATTTTTCCAGTTGAATGTGTGCTCACAGTTGTCCACATTCGTTGATATAATCGAGAGTATGTCATAGCGTTTGACCACCAATTGATATTCATGCAGGCGAAAACGAAGGGGAGGTCCACTCTGTCCGATGTGGTGTTTTTCGCAGTCCAAAACAATTTAGCTTGTAGATGATATTCGGGTTTTTCTTTTTTTGTCATTTCGTCCTTTGAATTGCAGAGGATTGCTTGAAGTGATTTCGTTGATTTATGTGCTATACCTATTCCAAAACGCTTGTTCAATCTCGTAGTGATGTCTGATGTTTCGTCCTGTATGACGTTCATTTTATTTCAGTCAGGCATGTATTCACAATAACAATCTGTTTATTACTAGCTCACTGTGAATTCCATCTAGTAAAACATCCAGCAACGTAATTTGCATGGAATAGGTTTCAGCATTTCTCTCAGTTATGCTGTTTTTATTTATCGTTAAATTAATATCAAACATCAGTTGACTCAATAAAAGTAGTATGTTTATTTTGACTCAAGTGTCGTTTAGTCTACCGGATCGCGAGTAAGATCTGTTTCCGACGACAATTTATCTCCACATATAACCCCCCTTTGGCAAGTATTAGTTTTCAGTAATCATAAAACTGATCGCTCTACAGTGTACTGTTTTGCTTCTTTGAAATGTGTAATTTGACTACCGATCAGTTTATTTTTACCCATGCGGCCTATCATAAATTTTTGATACAAATTCTAAGACTTGTCTAGTAAGAAATGAATATCTGCTTATATTCACAAGTTACCTCTCAAGTAGTTCAACACCAGCCGTCAAACCGAGAGTAGTTAAAACTCTGAAATACTCAAAGTTACTTATGTTTACAAACCTATTGTGTTCGAAATTCACATTCGAAGGTTTTGGTTTTGTATTTCGATATTCACACTCTCAGTTGTGTGTCCAGTCTAGATAATAGAATAGCCAGATCTCAACCAGCGAGTTGGATGACATGGCAACAACATCGAAGTCAAAATGATTGTCAGGACTATTCAGAAGATTTTATCAGTGAGAGAGATTAATCAAATGTACAGACGACATATATGTATCCATTGTTTGAAGAGATTCGGGTTATCCATATGTCATTGTTGATGACTGTTGGTCAGCGAAAACACATGATTTAGACATGATTGAGATGTTCATGAATCTTGAAAGAGTTCCTTATGAAGGTTGGAACTTATCGTTTTGCTAGTAACTTTTTGACATCATAAAAGTCGTGCACTTCATAAATGCATCAGCTTTCACGGAATGGTGGACTGGAGGTAGACTTGTAACAGAGATTATATCTGATATAAATGCTAAGATCAGCATGTTTCCAAAACGACTGATTTCGTGTATTCAGTTACTGGAGTTTTCATAGATAGCAGGAATATGTTCTGCATATGATTTTTTAAATAAAAACGTATCCTTAAAGCTCTTTTAAAATTATCGATGTGTACACCAGTCCCAACTCCGCCTGTAGTCCCTCCGAGGGCTACTGTCAACCCCAAACCCGGATAAAAGAGGAATGTTGGGCATGGAATTAGCGTCCCCATCCCGTAGAAAACTAACTCGCTAAAAAAACGCTAACCAGAAAAAACTATTCAAACCTTTTAAACTCTTCCCTGGGAGTCAGAAGGTCTTCATTTAGAAGAATTATGACGCCTCATGATGAAAGCCGAATCCGTTCGGAAGTTACGAACCTGATGCCCCTTCTGACAACCAGAGTGACCATTTATTTAGGTACATGGAATGTTTGTACAATGTGGGACACCGCAAGAGCCTTCCAAATTGCTGCAGAAATGAGAAGATACAACCTAGAGGTACTTGTGATCAGTGAAACACATTGGACACAAGTTGGACAACAACGACTAACTACAGGAGAGCTCCTGTTATACTCCGGTCATGAAGAAGAAAATGCACCACATACACAAGGAGTTGCATTGATGCTGTCCAAACAAGCGCAAAATGCGCTTATAGGATGGGAATCTCATGGACCAAGGATCATCAAAGCCTCGTTCAAAACAAAGAAAGAGGGCACTACAATGAACGTCACCCAATGCTATGCGCCTAATAACGACTACAGTGAGGACGTTAAAGATCATTTCGACGATAGGCTGCAGTCAGTCGTCGAGAAGTGCCCAACAAAGGACCTGACCATTCTGATGGGAGATTTCAACGCCAAGGTTGGAACGGACAACACTGGATATGAAGACATCATGGGACGATACGGACTGGGAGAAAGAAACGAAAATGGTGAGAGATTTGCAAATCTATGTGCCTTCAATAAGCTGGTCATTGGCGGCACCATATTCCCACATAAACGCATACACAAAACCACATGGACTTCACCGGATCACTCTACACAAAACCAAATCGACCATATTTGCATCAACAAAACGTTCAGGAGGACTATAGAGGACGTGAGAACCAAGAGAGGAGCTGATATAGCATCAGATCATCACTTGCTGGTCGCCATGATGAAATTGAAACTCAAGAAGCACTGGACAACGGGGCGGACAATATCACGAAGGTCCAATACGGCCTTTCTTCAAGATACTAACAAACTCAACAAATTCAAGATAGTCCTCAGCAACAAGTTCCAGGCCTTTCATGATCTACTCAATGGAGAAGGAACTACTGTGGAGAGCAACTGGAAGGTGATCAAAGGAGCAATCACTTCAACATGTCATGAGGTCCTGGGTCACAGGAAGCACCATCAAAATGAATGGATCACTGTTGATACACTGGATACGATTCAAGAAAGAAGGAACAAGAAGGCAGCAACGAATACCAGCCGAACAAGAGCAGAAAAAGCCAAGGCACAAGCTGAATACACAGAAGTAAACAAACAAGTGGAGAGGAGCATCAGAACCGACAAACGTAAATATGTGGAAGATTTAGCAACGACGGC